TTGAGTGCGATTATTTGAAGCTCTATAAATTCTTGACAGAGTGGGCTAGAATTCCCTTCCGAAAAATATTAGATAGAGCATGAAAGGAGCTTTCTAACAGTGTGCTGAAACCTTTACAAAGAAGAAGTTTGATGGAGAAAAATTGTCCTGAAGTCCTTAGAAAACGCTCATTATTTTTGCATCAACTTAATATTAGGTTGTCCCATAAGTCTTTTCATACCTGACTTTTCAGCAACATAAGTAAATTCTTCTAACTTCCAATAGGTTGTGGGGTACGTTCGACAGATCGAAGCAAGCCTTACATGATGACTTTTGAAATTTCGCACAAATCTTAGTCGCAACAAGTTCCAAGCCAAAACAAAAAAATTTCCGAATTTCTAAAAAAACGAAATTGTCATATGTCAGTTCAAAACACTCTGCAAAGTTCCCACTTTCTCATGCATATACTCCCCTCATCGCATATTTATACATGCGCTTGCTGCATTTTTCTGATGGCTAGAAACCAAGAAAGAAAGAATGCGCTCAGTTTCCAAACTTTGCGTATCAGTTCTGTGTTCCCCGAAAATAGGTGACTGTATAGCTTATTCGTTTACAAGGGAACGATCCCCACTTAAGGTGGCGAATTGGAATAAACCGCATACCATTAGATGCGTCTCGATGAGCTGATTCCAAATCTACCTTTTATATCTGCGATGCCGTTCTCTGCAAAAAGTTATGAGCGGTTGCAAATGTGAAGTTTTTGGGGTTTCAGCATAATGTGCTTCAAAATCCAACTTAGAACTGTATGACTAGCATGAAATCGAGTGTACTGATTTTAAGAAATGCTCACCTTCAAAAAAAACTCCAAATAATAAGTAAGTGTTTTGGAACAACTAATTCTCGAGTTGTGGCCCTATATATTCGCCGAATTTGAACTTTTCATTGCTCAAACTTTTACCAAAGAACTTCAGTTGCTTTTTATTTACTCAAAAACACATTATTTGTGTTTCTTTTGAATGTAAGCATTCATTGAAATCAGTACACTTAATATCATGCTGGTCATACACTCCCTAATTGGATTTTGAAGCACATTATGCATTGTAATCCCAAAAACTTCACATTTTTAACCTCTCATAACTTTTTGCAGATAGCGGCATCGCAGATATAAAAGGTAGATCTCGAATCAGCTCATCAAGACGGATCCAATGATATACAGCTCATTCCAATTCGCCACCTTTAAGTTGGGATCGTTCCCTTGTTAAAATTACTGCCACAAATTTGCAGCCTACCAGATGCCCTAGTTCTGAAATATCGAATTGAAAGTCCAAATATAAAAAGACCTATGGGACAACTTAATATTTATAATCAGCATGTTTGAAACTTCTAAGGAAGTTGTTGAGCAAATCTGAAACATTTACCCATCTATACACCCATTTTAATCTAAGAAAATGGTGTATTTTGAGAAATCAGCATGATATCCTGTTGAGAGGGCTGAATAACCCTCCTAAGCAAAGTTGAGAGCAAACTAGTGGTAGGAAGGTGAGAAATATTGCTTTAAAGGCTAGCAATCAACAGAATGTTGAAAATCAATGCTGCGACCCTTCACAAGCAAAAAAAATAATTGCAGGTTAGTGTTGCGTGTGAAGAAAATAAAGGAAACAAATATAAAACTACGTGGGATATGCGCAATGCAGTGGCGTACCCAGGAGTTCTGCTCGTGGGAGGAGCGAAAAAATTTTCTTTTAACAAAAGTGCATGGTGTGGGCCACTCTCTTTGAAAAATTTTTGGTATGCTTCCCAAAATTTTCGCGGGCTCCCAACCCCGAAATCTCAGGAACAGGGTGCGTGGCGCCAGTCACCCTCCCCTCCCCCTCTCCAAAAACTTGTTTTTGTAAGGCTAGAATTTTAATGTTAAAAACTATTTTAATTATCAACAAGTCAAGAACAAGTACTTGCATCTTTTTGTAACTCTTGTAAGTAACATCTGAAAGTTTCGCGACCCGTTTTCGGGGGGGGGGGGGCTCCCCCTTCCGTGATATGCCACTGCTGCAATGATTTCAAAACCAAACCTCTTTCATTTCATATGGAGAATTAGTGTGCTTATTTCTAAGCTACCTTTATGGCCTCGATCAGATATTAATTTTCTAAGCTACCACAGCTTAGTAACCGAGGTTACAGTAGGTGTTCCTCTTTTCTTCGTCTCCCTTTTTTGTTTAACCCCATTTTAAGTTTTGCAGTGTCAGTTTACTTATCTCACTCGTGCAGGTATTCTGTAATCTGCGGCCTAGAACATATCTGTTTCCTCTTTCGTTCTTTTTGTAAATTTCTTTAATACCTTTTTGGGTCCGACATCAATTTTAGAGAGCCTGCACACAAAGCTAGACAAAGTACGAGGGAATGTGTGCGGGAGGGTGGAAATAAAGAAATGAAATGCTTGGATGACGCTACGCCAAGTTTCCAAATTGACGGATCAACGCTGATGATTTGTGTAGAACTTGGACTCTCTTTTGAAAAACAAACAGCGATATGTTAAAACTTCCAGAAATACAGTCAGATGCAAATTAGTTCAAATTAAGATGTTTCAAGGAATTCAAAACTGATATTTACTTGTATGAGGACAGCTATGGGCTATGAAGGACAAAAATAATTAGACTAATTAGACTTACTTCCTAAATACTTCGTAACTTCCTGTTACAATATCCGGGTCACTTATGAGAGAAAAACTACAGAAAGTATAATGCCTTATTGGTACGTTCTTGATTAAGCTGTGCATTTCATTCGGTCTTTCATTATCGTTTCAGCTGCCTAGAACAGCAGGCTGCAAACTGTTGAGATTAGAGTTTATGAAAATTACTTCAATGACTGCTATCACTCTGCATGCATCCTGCAATTACCAGAACATGCAGCATACTGAACAATTATTGCGCTGAATTCCCTAGAGATCTGCATAATGGAGCATAAATGATATTAGCTTCTACATTCTAAGTGATTGCACCTAAGACCAATTATCACCCATTTGATAAAAAGACGAAGTCATTTTACGTATATGCTTGGGACCTTTGTGTTGTACTTCTGTCAAATGCGGAGCTGTTTTCTTCCATTACAGAGCCAAACGCAACTTTGTTACTTCATTACCTTGCTTTAGCTATTCCAATAAATGCTTTACACAAAGTCTGCCAATCAGCAGAAAGAATGTCCTCTTTTTTCCACTCTTCAACAACTACTGGAATAGATGATCAGAAACTAAAAAGAAAATTTGCTGGAGTAGGTTTTGTTCAAGAATGTGAGTGGTTGTTAAAATGCGAAATATTCTGCATATCCTATCATTGAGAAAATCTAAACACTTATAGTAACATTATACAAGATTTTGTCAAAGTGTTAATTTTGGTACATTTGATTGCATGCAATCTTATAAAACTTTTAATAACCCAAGACAGAACAGAAAGACACATTTAGAAATGCTGTATCTTTTTCTCTTATGTATGCTTAACTAAATTTTGACAATCTTTGAATACTTGAAGCACTTTTCCAACTCCTTGACTGTGGGGATGGGTAGTTCCAGTTTCCTCATTTCACCAGATGATGCCCATTAGTTTAAAATGGTAAGAATTAGCAGACGGTGAGTGGCTATCTTGATCCTTTTTGGGAGAAGTAAGTAGACTGCTCATAACTACATACAGGGTGCGCCAAAATTATTTGCGCTAAAATTTTTAAAGTAATGCCACAACAATGGCAATGAGAAATTTGGTCTGCATTTAATGCCACAGAATGCCGTAAGCATATTATACAAAAAGCACTATCAAGATCCCAAATCGGTCTTTATTTAGAGAAGTAAGAATTGCAAAAAGCAATGTTCCTGACAGAAAAAACGCAAGATGACGCAAATTATTAAATAGTCAAAATTTTTGTTTTGAATGCTCCTAAAGATTCCGAACCTCAGTGATCTTAAAGTTAAAGATTAGATCTATGAGAGAAGCGATCACTAAAAGGTACATACTGGGCAAGTTTGTGGGCCTCTACCCGCGGCAGTACGCGCAAAGTCAGAGAAATACAGGCAATTTTACCTCTTTCAACTAGGATACAGTATTGTAGAACCAAGAAAATAATATCAAGCTTGACCGCTGGCTGAGCCGGTCTTATGTTCGTATGCTCAATGATACACGCGCAAATAATTGTGGCGCACCCTGTAGTGCCCTAGAATTATAGCCGTGCTGGTGCCGCATTACCAGGCAAGATGACCAAAAGATTCGACGCTATTCTCATAGCTAATCATTCGAGACAGCAATACAAAAACGATGTTATGCGCAACGCGCAGGATACTTTTAGGCGTATATCTGCAAAAATTTCTATTGGCATTCAAAATTTCAGCGACATTTGCAGCTCGCATACAGTGAGAAAAGAATAAAACAGTCTAGGAGACAAGAGTTGTTACTGTTCGACCATCATGCGCACATATTTGAAAATACTGCTAATCAGGAACACTCATAGCGAAGAATTATGGGAATTTACACAATCATTTAGCCTTCTAAGAAATTTAGAACAATGTTAGCATTCTATATTATTTGATATCATATCTTTTGCAAAAAAGTGCATAACTGACACTATTTCAAGAAGGGTGTGAACTCAATCTCGGTTTCTGCTGTTCATCTCTGTCAGAAGAGAGTGCTTGTAAAGCTACAAAGTTTCTGTGCTCCCAAGCCTAAATCAATGTCGCCGAAACGTTAGCCCGAATAAATGATCATCGCTACCAACATTGAGTAAGGGCACAAAAAGGCTTGATATCAATTATATAACACTTGATATCAATTATATATGTTTTAGCTCTCAGATACGCTGAATAGCGGCACGCACCAAGCGAGGAATCACCATAATTCGGTGATTAAAGCTCATATTAAAGTCTTATTTGAAGCTCAATTGCAATTTACCAGTTGACTTTTGCTCAAGATGTGTTGTTCGATAAGCATTCATGTCTTTACTTGAGTCGATACTGCCTGATAAATGTAGTAATTATTGGTTCAAGGATGGATAGGATTGATACTATTAATGGAAACTGCTCTTACGCAGAAACGCTTGATATCAAATTGAATGGATATCTAACCATGGGGGCGCTTTCCGTCACCGTCATATACTCTATTCCTTCCACTGTCATCACTTATAGAATTGTCTCGAGAATGTTGAAATGCCCAAAATCGTTTTCAAGCGTATTCTACAAGATATTTCTGCACGATCGCCTTGTCGTAAGTGAAATGAAGGCTTTGCTTCTAGTAAAAGGTTAATACAGACTGAAAAGAAAACAATCAATGCTGAAACCTTAGTAATCTCTAGTTCTAGGAGACCCAGTCATTTCCAAGTGCTAGCTTTAGAACAAGCCATGAATTGCATAATTATCGAAAATTTTGTGTGATGATTGTAATTTGAGAATCTGCAAAAATGATTGTTTTTTGCGCATTCTCTGGTCTAAAATTGAGCTGTCACCGCAGCAAAGTATTATTTTATTTTTATTAAGTATTAGCAAATAAGAAAGATAAAGAGAGACTAGGGATAAGGAAGAACTGATTACGTTTACGTATTTATCTTGATGAGATGCATTTTTGCAGTTTCTACTATTCTTTGTGGTTGACGTTATCTTACGGGTTCCACTAACAGGGCTATTGACTTCTCTAGTATGTAAAATATGGCCAGGATTTTACTTCACCATTCTTTATGTTTTGTCGTACTACCTTCTATATATTAGCCTCTACTCGTCCATTGCCGTATCTATTGTGAGGGTAGCTGTAGTTATAATTCCAATCGACGCAGCTAAGGTAAGAATCTCGAATTTATGGAATGATTCGATTAGACTCTATGCAATTTAGGTTCAACTGCGCCTTGCCTTATTTCTACTTCCTGCAATATATTTGTTGCCATTGGTGACTACTTGGTTTCTTTTTCCGGCTAGATCATTCTTTGCTCCACTAGACGAGACTGCTTCATTAACGATGGCGTATGACAGGGTATATCCAGCGGTTGGTTTGTCTTTGCTGTTAAATGCTGTTTACTGTCGCCGCTTCCTTTACCTGTTGGAGTAGAATGGAGCATTTTCGTGAAACCGCGATGTTTTACTGCTTCCAAAGGATTGTGATCTTGCTATTCATCTCAGCAATACATTACAGAGGAATAACTCTAACAATAAGAAATCTTGCACTGATTTTCACTCTAACATAAAGTCTAGTTTCTCCTGTATGCGCATATAAAACGCTATAGCGACGTAGTCCTCCTTTCGTCATTGTCTTTCTCAAAGTAAGAAAGCCACTTGCTGTACTTTGAAAAGGCGCGAGAAGATTAACTTGCTAGAAGTGCATATAGTCAGCGGACGTTAACAGTACTCAGCAAGAAACATTGCTCTTTAATATCAGTGGGAGCTATAAAATAAAAACTACTATCTCAAGAATTTCCTTCCTGACACCACTTTCCAATTTCGCAAGTAAACTGCTGCACGTTTTCATTAGCAAATTCCTTGACGATTTCACTCTATGTTTGCACATATCTTTCCTTCCACTGCTGCTACCTTGCTCTGCTTCTCTGGCCACGGCATGCCAGGCTAACATGTTGCAACATGCAAACTATGTTGGTGCTGACGCTAACAGCTAACATGGTTTCTCAACAGCCATACATGAAGCAAGTCAGAGACGCAAAGCAGAGATAGCAGCAAGTATGGGACGCACATTATCCTGTTTTTGAACAACTACATAAAAATGTTTTCAAGTATCATTACAATGTTGTAATTGTAGTGGAGGAGCAGTCTTGCATTGCTCTTTGTGTCCATTATCACTTGTGTGATCGTACTCCTTTGCTTCACAATTACAATTATAAGATGGCGTACACTATCCGGGTAAGTATTGAGTTGTTTTCAGCTAAGCGAAAGTGGTAAATTTTTGATTTTTCAGAAGGCGCACCTTGGCATGGAATAAATCGGAAATGTCATTACTTTTGACCGTCTGCTCATTATGTTTATCTCTTTGCCTATTCTGCCTTCTTCAGGTCAGTTGGCAGAAAAGACCTTAGCGATCGCAAAAAAATTCTTCAAATAGAATGGAACTTTGCCCATTACTATGAAAGTGTATTTAATATGCGGGGGTTGCCGAATATAATTTGATGCTTCTACAGCTTCTACAGTTTTCACAGGCACTAATATTCCAAATTGTTTCCAAAAATTTTGAATCTGTTATGAGCTTAGTTGGTCTGGCTATTATATCAGTTTCAGTTCTTTTTCTACTATTATATTCTTACTGCGATATCGTTTCTTGTAAGGGGATTTATCCAGGATCTTATGGTATTTGGTCCTACTTGGGTATTCTACGTCACACATCCCTCATTCGTCAAAAAAGTCGCTAGCGGGAGTGTGATAGTTACAGTTGTGTCTGCTCCCAGAGCTGTCATCATATAAATTTTATCATGCAATGTTTCTGCTTATAGTTCTTTTCACCTTATTATGCACATCATTGTCGTGTGTACGATTTTCGTCTTTGAGAATTTTCGCAAATGATTCTACTACTTGAAATTTATATCCTTGAACACAATCGATTATTTATCCGTCCTTATGCTTCTTCGATCTATAGTTGCTCTAAGTTTCAGACTTAACAGCTAACTTGAGATTAGGACTCAATATGGGCTATTGCAAATTTCCGGAAACTTGCTTGAAAATCTTGGTTTTAGCAGATTTGGTTTGAACGCAGATTCCGATGTTTTCCAAATACATTACCTCGGCGCTTTTTCCGCTTTTCTCTGCATTTTATATCCCAATTCTGAGACGATTCTAGGCGTGGCTCATTTCCTGTTCTGTCTAAGTAAATTTTTGACTACTTCTAAAAAAAAGGCCCTAATTTTATCTGATTACAGTCATTAGATGGTTGCTAAGCCGTGACAACTAATACCTGATGTGATAAATGGCTGGATCTACCAATAATAAAGGTTCTACCATATGCCTGAACACACTGAGTACCTATACTGCACTTCTTTGAATTTCCACATTTCCATAGATGAGTAGTTTGGCACTGAAACGAGAAGTGCTAGAAAGCTTGGTACTGTTTCTGATAGAAGAGGAATATATCACAAAAATTATGCAATATTATACCCATTGTCGGGTATCAATCTCTCGATTTGCTTACATTCTTTCTGAGACTTATGCTAGTAGTGAACCTTCACAAATGTGCTGTGTGCGAATACTTGGGAAATGCATAGTACACTTCTGAGTGCTGCTGAAGTTGCTCATACATTGAAAGTGTTTATTTATTTATTTATTTATTTATTTACTTATTTATATAGAATACATCGTAGGAACGATGTGCTATTACACAATCATAGTCATAAACCAAAATACTGCATACAATAAAACGACTGGGAGAGAAAAGGCAAAGTTCAACGACTGGGAGAGAAAGGGCAAAGTTAAGTTTGGCTCTAGCTTTCGCACTGTATCACTCTTATATGTTAGTTGATAAGATGATATTGAGACATATGGTATAGAATGTATGTTTGCTTTGATAGGTGGTAAGAATTGCGCTCAATTGCAGAGGTTCAACACATTATTAGAAACTTTGATCTCAGGGTTGAGGATATAGTTAATAGATCATATTACACAAGAGCAACGGAGACATATGAAGTAGTTGGTGTAAAAGACCACTTTCGTGTGGTACGTGATGCAGCAATCCATCGGCCAAATCATTGATCCATCAATCCATCGATCCATTGTCCTCGTACATACATACATACATACATACATGTGTTAAATTATACTCCATTTTCTTCGTGTTTGTGCAAACAAACTACCAACTAGATGTAAGATCGAAGTCTCCAACAATGTATTAGGTTGTTACATAAGTTTCGTTACACTTTATTCGCCTTCCTCTGGAATACTCTAGAAAATTCGGCAAGACCTCATATCCGGCATATATGGGGAAGGGATAAAGGGCTATCTGCTGGCGCCACTTATGCCCTCACCACATGACTTACAGTGCATATAAAGGCAACACTATAGGGGCACCCCAACCTTCATTTTTTTCTTTGTTTCCTAAAAATTCTCTTATTCTTCTTTTCCACATTTTTAAATTTTTTATGGATTTTGGGGACCATCGGTAGTAATACGAAAGCAGTTTAGAAGATCAAACTTTTCATCAACCAAAAATGGAAATATGCCAAAAATAATTCGAAAAAATTTCAAAAAAATCCAAAATTTGATTTTATGTGTGGCATGTATATATCAAAAATCTGCAACATTACACATAGTTTGGGGGCAAGGAAAGATCATTTGAGAAAGTTATGGGCATTTTTTCAGTTGAGTGTAACAAAACTTATGTAACAACCTAATATTATAGTTAGGTATACACGCAGGAATGAATTAGTGCATGACTGATGACTTGGTTGTATATTTTTCTTGTACAACTAAGATAGGAGCTATTTCAAGATCGTTTAGTTTCAGGAATAAAAAGCTCTAGCTAAGGCGATACAATTTGAAAGCAGGGAATAGCAACTAGAATTATTTGCATTTCATCTCCAAAACATGGTACAAAGTTATTATCATACAACGTCCTCCATTCCTAATAGTTGTAGAATATCCATTTTTTCAAAGCATTCTTCAGTTGAGCACTTGAATTTAAAGATAAGAAAGAAGCCGGTAGCTTGTTCAAAATAGAGATTGCTCGATAAAAAAGTTGTTGCGCTGTAACGAAACATTGTATCGTCCAAATCTAGAAATAGTCAAATTAAAAGAGGCTCGACGTTCACTGATAGGCCGAAAGACCCAGTATTTGCTGGGTTTCAAACCTACCTCAGCTCGCAATATTTTAAAGGCCATAAATATATCAGCTAAAAATCTTCTATAAAAAAGAGTTTTGAGACCGAGCTTGCGCAATCTGGTTTTATAGTCAGGTAGGGCAAGAAGGTAGTCAGGGTTTGGAAAAGCGCGATAAAACACAATTTTTGTAGAAGCTTTTTGAATTTTCTCAATTTTTTCGATATCTTTTTTCAAAGTTGGGTTCCAGACGTGGCTGCAGTATTCTACTACTGGAAGAACAAAGGTTTTATATATTCTGAGCAGAAAATTAGGGTCAGATGACTGAATAGCGCGAAGCAACGTATACATTATTCGAGTGGCACGTGAAGTAATCTCTTCTATATGTTTTGAATAATTCAAACCAGATTCGACATAAACGCCCATATCCTTGACCATAAACCTGCATTCAAGAAAATCATCTATTTTCGGATAAATAGGAGTTTTGCCAATAGGAACAATGCAGCTCTTAAAGAGATTTACTTTGATTTTCCACCTGTCTGCTCAAACAAACATCTGAGAGATGGAATTGCGCAGTGCCATGATGGCGTTCTCCTTATCATGTTGGTCATAAGCGATATAGATCTTTACATCATCAGCATTCGCAGCTACTCCAATGCGAGGGTCTGTAACAAGAGCAGTTGGAAGGTCAAGTGTATATATATTGAACAGAATTGGGGATAAGATGCTGCCTTGTGGAACTCCAGACCTGCAGAATCTTGCCTTCGAAATCCTATCATGCACTCTGACTGCAATTGTTCTATCTTGCAGATAAGATTCGAACCATCGTAACTGCAGACCTCTAATTCCTAAGCTCTCTAGTCTAGATAATAAGAGAGTATGATCTACTGTATCGAATGCTTTACTTAGATCGAAATACACACGCTAACAGACTGGTTTCGACTCAACGCTTCTGTCCAGTCAAATTGGCAATCCAGAAGCTGAGTGACAGTAGATCTACCCTGCAAAAATCCATGCTGTTGCTGAGGGAGACATTGTATCTTGTCTAGCCATTTCAATAAGTTAACAATTTTTTCAAGTATCTTACAAGGTGTCGGAAGGATACTTATTGGTCTAAAGTCGGAGAGCTTAGGACTGACAGAGATCTTGGGTAGAAGAGTGACGATGGCGGATTTCCACAGACGGGGCACTTCTGCATTCATCAAGCTTATATTGAAAATATGGGTTAATGGGAGTGCCAATTCATCGGCAAACATGTTGTAGAAAATTGCTGGGATGTCATCAGATGTAATTGATAGTGCGGGACTAACTTTCTTCAAAAGTTGTCTAACATTATAGGGATCTATCTACGGTGAAGGAAATTCCTCAGAGGATTTGATCGGCAGTATAGGACTTGAGAGGGATGGGTCGTTGGATACATTCGAAAAGTAATCTGCAAGCCCTTCAGCTTTAGAAATGGAAATGTAGAAAACATTGCCACTAGAGTCTTGCAATGGACCAAAAAATTTGTTTTCCTTTGTATGTTTTTTCAGGTATGTCCAGAGATGACGTGCGGTAATTTTACTGGCCATTTCCTTTTCTTTTTGCTTTAGATAACGTTTTAAATGGAAAGATAACTTTTCAGAGGCTGACTTATACTGTGCATTATTCAAGGGATTATGGCTGTTTAAAAACAGTCTAATTCTGTGGGCATAGAGGTTTCTTATGTGTTTAGGATATCGCGAGAAAGGGGCAATTCTTTGTTTGAAAGGTACATATAGAAAGATCAGATTGCGGACTATCTTGCAGAATCGATCGTAAAGATCATCAATAGAAGAGTACCCATCAAACACATTTAGCCAATCAGTATTGGATAAGATTGCCTTTATAGAAATGGTATCAGCTTTGGAGTAGTCACGTATAGACGAATGTTCATTGATATCAACTAGACCAGCAGACAAGGCGATATCGAAAGCTACGGTGTTATGATCTGCATTACCTAAGGGGGGATAGTTTCGCACGTTGTAAACGGTATCCCTTTTTGCAAATATCAAATCTAAGATTGAAGCACTTCTGGTAGGATTTGTGACAAGTTGTGAGAGCCCCAAACACACAAAAAAGGAAGCAAAGCGGGAAGGAGAAACAGAGAAAGTTTTCATTTTAAACCAATCCACACCAGCAAGATTGAAATCACCCAGAAAAATGAGGCTCTTATTATTTGTGGAAGTTGCCAGGTTTTCTAGAAAATGGATAAATTCTTCATCTTGTGTGGATGTTTGATTGGGTGGTCGATAAATGAGCACAAATCTGATGTCATGAGAGCCATTAACGATCAGATCAAAGGCGAGTAGATCGGTAGATAGAAAATGTCTTACATCAATATTTTGAAACAAAAGATCGAATCGGATTAGTATGCAGACACCCCCTCCCCTTTAACTTTTCCGATCACTACGTAAAATATTGTACGGTAGGTTGCCCAGTACTTCTGCGTCAGTGATATTGCTATTAAGCCAAGACTCGGTGATAAAAACAAGTGCTGGCTTGTAAGAATGAACGAAATGGTGAAATTCTACAAATTTGTTTACCAAACTTCTTGCATTAAGGAGAAAACAGGATATTAGAGGATTATCCAGGCCAAAAATTAGTTTTTTTTGAAGAGACGACTTGATGTTGGGTATGTC